CTCCTTCCTCCTCTCCCAGCTCCCAGCTCCCAGGGGAGGCTCCTTCCTCCTCTCCCAGCTCCCGGGGCTCCAGGCGTCCCTTGGCGTGTGGCCCATCACTCTAGCTTCTGCCTCCGTCCTCACGTGGCTCCCCCTCGGTGTCTGTGAGCCCTCCTCTGTCTCTCAGAACACCACCGGTCATGAGGTTTATGATCTCTTCATCCAATTCACCCTAGCCAACACCCAGGTTAATAAATAACATAAAATCTAACCTCTGTGAGGGGATGATCTACATTACAATCTGATTAAAACACAGAGAAAGAAAAGTACACAAACCAGCAGGAAGATCAGATTACCTCGGGTATGTATCTACCTCTAATTCTTTCTCTCTCTCTCTCTTTTATTTATTTATTTTTTAGAGAGTTTTTTGCTAGACAGTGTGTGCACTCGCCAGAAAGACAGAGAGAGAGACAGAGAGACAGAAAGCAAGAAAGCATCCCCCAGGGGGGATGGCCACGCCGCAGTCCTTTCTCCTCCATTCTCCTCTTGGGATCTTGGGCATGCACAGAAATGTGGCGTGATTTTAAGCCACCAGGTCCAGGACTTGAACCACGGTCAACTACATGGGAATCCAGCGACGGAGCCATTACACCAATGCGGTGCCTCTCTAATTCTTTTTTTTTTTTTTAAGAGACTTTTTTTTTTGTGTGTGTGTGTGTGTGCTGTAGGGCATGTGCACTTGGTGAAGAGACACAGAGACAGAAAGTGAGAAATCACCCCCCAGGGGGGATGGCCACGCCGCAATCTCTTCTCCTCCATTCTCCTCTCGGGATCTTGGGCGCGCACCCACACACGATTGGTGTAAGTTTTAAGCCTCTGGGTCCGGGACTTGAACTGCAATCAACTACATGGGAGTCCAGCGACGTAACCATCACGCCACCTGCTGGTCCCTTGGCTTCTAATCCTTGATCACTTTCCTTTCCGTTTCTATGTAATGCAGGCGGCAAAGGCATGGGAGGCTGGGAAGGCGGCATCCGCGTCCCGGGGATATTCCGCTGGCCCGGGGTGCTGCCGGCCGGCCGCGTGATCCATGAGCCCACCAGCCTCATGGACGTCTTCCCCACCGTGGTCCAGCTGGGGGGCGGCCAGCTGCCCCAGGACAGGTACGGAAGGGTCCCAAAGAAGGAATTCAATTTAACTTAGAAAGACTTAGGGACCAGTAGATGGTGCAGTGATTATGGAACTGGACTTCCTCATGGCCGACAGAGGTTCGAGTCCCAGACCCGGTGGCTTGAAAATCACGTTGGGTATGTGTGTGTGCCCAAGATCGCTGGAGGAGAGATTGGAGCATGGCCATTCTCCCTAGAGGGGTGTCTCACTTTCCCTTTCACTGGCTCTCTCTTTCTGCTGAACACATGTGCCCTAAAGCAAAAAGAGCCAAAACACTAACTAAATAAAAGAATCTGTAAATAATCTTCATTCACTTGATGTTGACCGCATAGAATACGTCCCTGTCTCTGTCTATGGGGGGGAAAAAAAAAGGTAAAAGTTGAATTTTGGGGCCAACACTCTGCTGTGTTTAGAGAAATGTTTTGACCTGTTTTGTTAAATCCTACTGGATACTAATACCAGCCGTGCGTGACTTCTTGTTGAGGGTGCTTCTCAAATTCACTCTCTCTTCCTCTTTCCTTTTTCTCTCGTGAAAGAAATGAGAAAAAAACAGACTTCCAAAAAGCTAGGAGAGGGCCAGCCGGAGGGGAGGTCCTTAAGATGACTGGATTCCACGTGGCCGGCTGCATTGTCTGAATGCTGGACCGTGTGGCTTGAAAAGAGAGCTGGGTGTACGTGTGTGTGTGTGTGTGTGTGTGCTCAACATCCTGCAAACGAGGGAGAAATTGAGAAGGGACCATAGTGAGGCCACCACCCTGAGGCTGCCTTTCTCACTCTCCTCCTCTGTCTCTCTCTGGTGAGCCCTCTAGCAAATAAAAACCAACCCCACAGCAGTTTCTAAACTCTTCAAACTCAGCATGCTGTGAAAATCAAAACATGTTTGACTTATTATTATTCTTTTAGGTGTTTGCTATAGGGTGCATGTGCTTGCTGGAGAGACAGACAGACAGAAAGCGAGAAATCACCACCACCCCCCAGGGGGATGGCCACGTTGCAATCCCTTCTCCTCCATGTTCCCCTGGGATCCTGGGCATGCACGCACATGCACCTGGTGTTTTAAGCCACTGGGTCCAGGACTTGAACCGCAGCTGAGATGTGGGAGTGCGGGGACATCCCCACTATGCCACCTGCCGGCCCCAGTGTTTAGCTCATTATTACATTTGCATTTAAGTTTGCGTGGACATTGACTTAGGCAAGGGATAAGCTGGGTCCCAATGCCGTCGTGGCTGAAGATGAGGTTTGGTGGTGAGCGCTTCTCGGTGCAGCTGGGCTGAGCCTGCCTTAAACTGCCCGGCTCACACGCCCCTTCCCTCGGCCCGTGTGCACACTCACTGTCCCTGTGCTGAGCGGACACAGGACAGAGGACGAGGGCCCCGGGCTTGCGAATGCTGCAGACACCTCCAGCCCCAGGTCCTTGGTGAGTCCTCGGTGCTCCTTCCTGCAGAGTGATCGATGGCCGCGACCTCCTGCCTATACTCCTGGGGACAGCCCGGCACTCGGAGCACGAGTTCCTGCTGCATTACTGCGAGACGCACCTGCACGCGGTACGCTGGCACCAACGCGACCGTGAGTAGCACGCTCCAGGGGGCTGGGGTCACACCCTGCTTCTCTTTCCCACCTCCCCGCGTCTTCAGGAGCTTTCACACTTACTTCTGGGAACTGTGTGTCCTTCTCACTGCGGTCACACGGCTCCTGGGATCACCCGCCAGTCCTAGGAGTAAGCGTGGGGGACGTCTCCCCTCTCGTGCTGACAGGTGTGACTGGGATTGTCACAGACATGGACACACACACGGATGTACACCGCCTCTGCGTGGGTGTCTCAATCTCCCTCTCTATTCTCTTCTTTTGGACCTGTTTCCAAATCTTGGTGGGTTTGCTCGCCAGACCGAGGGAGAGAGAGAGAGAAATCACTCCCGGGGGGCGGGGGCATGGCCGCACAGAAAGCTGTTCTATTTCCCTCTCATCTCGGGATTCTGGGCACATGTACTCATGCACCTGGATGGAGTTTGCAGCCACGGCATCAGGGACTCCAACCCTACCACTGGACTTGTGGGGTTCAGCATCTTCCCCTCCACGCCACCTGCTGGCCCCGTGTGGACAAATCTTTTCTTTTTTTAAAATCTATTATTAATTTCATTTATTCATTTATTTATTTAAATTTGACCAGAGAGAGACAGAGAAAGAAAGAGAGAAAGTGAGAAAGCAAGCCACCAGGTCCGGGACTCGAACAGTAGTCGGCCATGTGGGAGCGTCCAGCACCTTAACCACCACACCACCTGCTGGTCCCCAGACAAATCTTTTCTTTTAAAGAGATTTTTTTGCTATAGGGTGCACGTGCTTGTCAGAGACAGAAAGCAAGAAACCACCCCCTGGGGGAGGACGCTCCTACCACAGTCCCTTCTCCATTCTCCTCTCCGGATTTTGGGCACACACACACACGCAGTTTTAAGCCCACCAGGGCGAGGACTCAAACCCCAGTCCACCGTGTGGGAGTTCAGGGCCTTAACCACTGCCCCACCTGCTGGCTCCTCCAAATCTTCTACCTACCTACGCTTAATGACCCAATGTCATCTTCCCTGAATGGCCACTTACAGCAGTCACAAGCAGACTGAGCTGTTTCTGTCCTGCAAAGCGTTCTAGGTCCCACTGTCTAGGTCCCTTTTTCTCTGTCCCACTGTCTTTTCAGAAGAACTATATGATTATTTGCTGGCTTGAAAAAAGAACAGTACAGGGGCCAGCAGGTGGTAGAGCAGGTGTGCTGCTGGACTCCTACATGGCCGACTGTGGTTCAAGTCCCAGACCTGGTGGCTTGAAACTCATGCCAGGCGTGTATGCGTGCATGTCCAAAATCCCAGGAAGAGAATGGAGGAGAAGGGATTGTGGTGTGGCCATCCCCACCGGCGGGGAGGGGGGGGAATGATTGCTCACTTTCCTTCTCTCTCTCTCTCTGGAATGCACATGTGCCCTAAAGCAAAAACGTCTTAATAAAAATAATAATAACAAAAGAAAAATTCAGGACTGGCTCTTGAGGAAGGGTGGTTCAAATTCCAGACCCAGGGTCTTGAGAGACACGCCGGATGCGTGTGTATAAGTGTGTGTGTGTGGCTGAAATCGCAACAGGAGGGAGAGACGGAGAAGGGGTCACCGTGTGGCACTCCTGTCCAGGCACTGTATGTCCCTGTCCCCCTCAGCCCGCTGTGACTGTCACTTTCCCACCAGGAGCAACAGTGTGGAAAATCCACTACATGACCCCGGTGTTCCAGCCCGAGGGAGCCGGCGCCTGCTACGGGAGAGGGGTGTGCCCGTGCTCCGGGGAGAACGTCGCTCAGCACACCCCGCCCCTGCTCTTCAACCTCTCCGGAGACCCCTCGGAGACCCGCGCACTCACGCCGACCACAGAGCCCTCGTTCCACCAGGTCTTAGAAACCGTCTGGAGGGCGGTGCAGGAGCATCGCCGGACGCTCAGCCCGGCTCCCCCGCAGATGGACACGCCGGGAAACACATGGCGCTTCGGTCTCCAGCCCTGCTGCGGCTCATTCCCCTTCTGCTGGTGCGACAGGGAAGGCGACCCACCATAATATCAGGGAGGCAGGTGGCATGGAGGTTAAGGCGCTGGACACTCACGTGGCCAACCGTGGTTCAAGTCCCGGATCTGGCAGCTTGCTTTCTCACTCTCCTCTTCTCTCTCTGTGTCTCTGTCTGGTCAAATGGAGCCATACAAAAATTAAATAAATACGTATTTAAAAAATAAAATGAAGTCTGGGAGGGGAGGCGTCAGAGTCCTATGGCTGGATTTCATCCCTCAGCTCAGAGCCGGCCGTCCCCGAGACGCCATCCTTGGCAGAAGGACGAATTGCTTCACTCCGGCAGAAGAGGCAGGAAGAAAAACAGCAATGGGCAATATGCACACCGTAAAACCCACCGCTTGTGGACAGAAGTCTACTTTTCCTATTTTCCAAAATCTTTTCAACAGGGGACTGGGGAAGTCCTGCCCACAAACATTAACAGATCATTTATTTTCTATTAACAGGATTCTTCCTACCTCCTGTCCCTGCCATAGTATCTTTGAGATGTGTATGTCAACAGGTTACCGTGTATTCTTGTGATCCCTTCCCAAGACACAGAACTTCTTTTCCTTGAGATGGAGATTAAGCCTTTCTTTAACTAATCTCTTCCCAAGACAGGGATCTTCCCTTCCAATCACCAACCTAGGAATTGTGGAACCCACCTATAACTTACAAACACCCCCCCCCTTCTACATGTCCTGCCTTTTTGGCCCAGACCAATGGAAAATCTCTTCACTAAATGTTGTCTGTCAATCTCAAACAAATAAAAGGAACCCCCGTACATGATCACCCCGAGAAAAGGCATGTATGTCTCTTCTCCGGGCCTAGGGCACTCATATTTGCCTTGGAAGTAAACCGCTAGAGTAAGATAGGAAATGGGTCTGCAGGTGGTGTGGTGGTTAGGGTGGCTGGATTGTACACAGCCCACCACATGGTTCAAGTCCCCCAGATCCTGAGGCTTGAGAAGGGTGCCGAGTGTGTGTGTGTGTGTGTAAGGACCGCAAAACCCAGGAAGGGACCATGCCCCTGGTAGGAAGGGGCTTGCTTGTTTCCCTCTCTGTGTCTCTGTCTCCCTCCACAAAACCCAGGAGGGGACCATGCCCCTGGAAGGAAGGGGCTTGCTTCTGTTTCCCTCTCTGTGTCTCTGTCTCCCTCCAGCAAGTGCACACTCCCTCTAGTTAAAGAGAAAGACAGAGAGAGAGAGAAACAGAGATAAAGGAAGAAAGGGAGAGAAAAAGAAACAGAGAGAGAAAGGAAAAAGTGAAGGAAAGAGAGAAACGGAGGAAGGCCAGCAGCTGACCTGGTGGTGCAGGCGCTGGACTCCCGTGCAGTTGGCTCAGTTCCAGAGAGAAGAATGGAGAAGGGATTGCAGCATGGCCATCCACCCTGGGGGTGAGCTCTCGCTTTCAGTCTGCCTCTCCTCTCCAGTGAGTGCACACGCTCTATAGCAAAACTCTTTATTTCTTTTTAAAAAAGACAAAAGGCTTTCCAGGACCAGCAGTTGGCGTCATGGCTATGTCGCTGGACTCTCATGTAGTCGACTGTGGTTCGAGTCCCAGATCCGGTGGCTTAAACTCACACTGGGCACGTGTGCGTGCATGCCCAAGATCCCAAGAGGAGAATGGAGGAGAAGTGATTGCGGCGTGGCCATCCCCCGTGGGGGAGGGTGATTTCTTGCTTTCTCTCTCTCTGTCTCTCTAGAGTGCATGCACTCTATAGCAAAAACCTCAACAAACAAACAAAGAGAAGACAAAGGGTTTTGCTCTAAACACAATCCCCCCCTCACATTTTCAGTAATCCAATTCAGCCCACCTAGGGAGCAGGGCTGCAGGGGCTGTCTTTTCCACAGACACCCTTACAGACTTCGGGGCTGCCCACCCTACCCCTAACTCTTGGGGAACACCCATTCCACTTGGTGAAAATGCAAAATGCGGACCTGAGTTGCAAAGAGTAAATAGAGAATTCTGGCTGGAAGAAGGAAGGCCACGCTTGTGATCCGCTTGTCAAGAAAGCTGGATATCACGGGCTCCACTGTGCGATTGGAGGACCCAGGGAGCTGCTTGCAAAACACACTGGGCGGGGACCAACAGGTGCCTTAACGGTTAGGTCGCTGGATTCCTGCGTAGTCGACAGCGGTTCAAGTCCCAATAGTGACTCTGGATGCATGGTACCGAAAGCCCAGACGAGAATGGAGAAGGGATTGCAGCATGGTCATTCCCCCTGGGGGTGATTTCCGGCTTTCTGTCTGTCTAGGTCTCTCCAGGGAGTGCATATATCCTATAGCAAAAATCTGCCTTAAACAATGGTCCCTCTCTCCCCAGGAGGCGCGTTCTCACTTTCCCTCCCTCTGGGTCTCTCTGGTATGCACACGCCCCCTGTAGGAAAAACAAATGAAAACAAAGCAGAGAAAAAGCTTGCACCCAGGACAGACATTTCAAACCGGAGCCTCCCGAAACCGAAATAGCACTCAGCTCTGTGGAACCCACTGGCCCTGGCCCAAGCGGTTTCCGAGACTGAAAACCGAGACTTCCCTGCACCGCCGTGGCTCCCTGGAGGGGCGTGCCCAGAGGCTCCCGGTACCCAGGCCTAATCCGGATTAACTAACACCCCCAGCCCGAGCCTTCTGGGACCCTGGGGACCAGGAAAACCTGTTTAAGCGCGCTGTTCCCCAGACTCAGGGCCCCAGGAGAGGGAGCGGATTACGGAGGGAGTCCCGCACCCCAGCTCCCCAGCTCGGAGAGCGGAAGTGCAGGCGCTGGGCGGATCCGCGGCGCAAACCCTCGGGGCAAGGTCCTTTGCTCCCCTCCAGCGCTCTGCCAAGCGACCCACCGCGCACAGGGGCGCGCGCCGGCCTGCCGCCAGGTGTGCGGGACCCCAGACCGGCCTGCAAGGAGGAAGTGGGGCGGGGAGGAGGGTTCCGGGCAAGCGCAGGCTCCAGGGGGGCGCAGCTGCGGGCTCCGACTAGTTCTCAGCCCGGGGCAGGGAGCTGGAAGGGAGGAGGCCGACCTGGAGGGGACGCGCGGGTAGGAAAATGGAGAGAGGAAGGAGAGAGAAGGGGGCGGGCGGGAGGGCACAGGCCCGGTCCCGCGGTGGCCCTGCGCTGTCCCCTCCCCCAGCACTGCCAGGACACGCCCCCTCCCCT